AACACGCAGCAGCTCTTTGATTGCACACACTTATGTTCCCGCTCGTCCTGGAGCTGAACTCTCAAAGCGTCCGAGACCAGAAGCCAGAGAAAGTTAACGGTCAGTCCTGATGTCTGAGGACTCGACAGCTTTTGGTCCAAGAGGACTTTACAAAGTAAAGGTTAGAGGTGTAGAGCCCTGGTGAAGTTACTCAGGTACTGAAGTACAGTTTAGAGTATTTCTGTGTACATCTTACTTCACCACCCTGACGTGGGCCATTCAGCACGATGGGTCTTCTTACTTTTGGCACCTTCAGTAGGATAATTTGATGCTGAGACTTTTGTACTTCAGTAAAAGTTGATCCTGATTAAACAGCTGTTTGACATGACGTTCAGCATCGAGGTGAGTTTGTAGGAGAGCCCGCAGCGCTGAGGAGCTCCGCTGCAGATTCCCTCCATCAGCGGTTTGTCAGCGTTCTGAAACGTGATGCGGTTTAGAAAGTGTCTCTGCGGTCTGGCGGTCTGGCTCAGCCGGTTCAGTCTCCTCCTGCTGGTGTGTTGCAGGCAGAGCCAGCTGGCCAAGATGACCTCGGACCTGTATGAGGACGGAGGAGACAAGCAGAGAGAGAAGGAGACTCCAGCAGCCTCTAAAGCCTCCTCGGTGTCTCCTCTGTCTGCCGTGATGTCCCTGGAGCTGCCTGGACCCTGGAACAGCCCCCCCTCGCCGGTAACGCCCCACCCAGCAGCTGAGTGTTGCCACCTGGAGGACAGTTGTGTCTGAGTTTGACCTGTCTTCTTCCCAGCAGGACGCAGAGATCGGCCACCGGCCTCTCCGCTCTCCTCCCGGCCTGAGCTACTCCTTCAGGAGTCAGCTGACCTCCGACGACATGACCGACTGGCTCCGCCTCCTGCTGGAGGCCGACGACACCCGAGGTGAGGTCACAGGTCAGGCTCGTAAGGGCTCAGATCAGGGCTGTGATGGACACTTGGTGGTGATGCACGATACTGGATCCTCATTTTCTGCTCCAACTTATGGTGGAAATGTTTCCGTTAACATGAAGGGAAACAAAATTCATGTGGCTGCTGACAATTCAGACCATAAAAATGTCCTAATAATCATCAGCAGAAGTTACAGATCTGTTTCTTCTTCATTGCATTTCATGTGTTCCCGTTGTGCCAGTAAACTTCTCTCATACAGTTTTTATTATTTGTTAAACATTCCTGGTTGCAAGTGCTTTCAAAAAGTGGCGGACGTGTCCCCGGCGTAAATGACAGCAATGCTTGTATCTGATTGGACAGATGTGTTATCAGAACAAGCAGGTGATAGAAACGCCGCGGTGTCGCTCACCTGAAGGTCCAGAATGAACGACGTATTTCACTCACATATTGGCCTAAAAATAAATGCGTGCAAACTGGAAATATTGACGATGTGCGAGTAAAGACTGAAACCCACAGTGAACTTTCTGCATGAATGTTAAGTTGGTACTTGGCATTTGATAAATGAGACTAATGTAGACTGTTAGATTTGATAAATAACATCCTGGAAAAATGGAGCAGCTGCAACTGTTGCCTGAAAATTTCCCTCATTTCTGAACCCTGGTGTTGACGGTAATGAGCCACAGCTGAGGTCCCGGCCAGCAGCTCGGCTGTGGAGCAAAACGTAAAGCCAAATCGTTTCAGGACAAACGTGTGAGCGTTAGCAGCTCTGAAGAAACACGTCCTCTGTGCAGCCGCTCAGATGAAGCTGGAGATGAAGAGCCGCTGAACTAAATCCAGTCTTATGTTGAAGTGCTTTCAACATACAAGCAACACGGGGGGGAACTGAGACGAGTCGGTACAGATTTTTAAAGAGTGAAATAGAAAATTAACAAATTTACATAGTAAACTTTTATATTTTTCTTTTGGCATTTTGGCGCTGGATGGGATTTACGCAGGGGACATGTCCCCATCGCTCTATGAAAGCAACAGAAATGCTTTGACAGGTTTATTTTCACATTGTGAAAACATGCAGTGTAAATATAGAAGAAACAAATGTGCATTGTCCAAAAAAAGTAACTTAAGCTTAAAAAAAACGAGCAACTAATTAGGCCAACAGAGTCCAGTAGACTTTAGATTTTGTTTCCCTTTCTAAAAAGACATTTTCAGCATAACTCGGTGCAGGAAATTAAGTGTTTAAGGCTCAATCTTCATCATATATTTCCTAATTAGTTTTAAAATATCTTCCCAACTTGTGTTCATGACCCAATATTGTGCGTCGCCACACCGCTAATCTGTCCCCACCCCTTTCAACACAGTGAAACTTGCTGGTATCTACGCCATTCGTTTTATTCTGTGGGGCTCTGCGGTTCAGACATCACCTGCTCAAGTTACTGTCGACTGATTAGTTACTATGAACCTTTTTTCTATTTAGATACTAGAGCTTATTTCTTTAACTATCCTGTTACTAGTAGAAATGGAAATATGACCATCAACAAGATGTTTTACTCGTTATTAATGAAAGTAACAAACTGTTTGCTAGTGAAAATACAGAAATGCCGTCTTCTGGAAAAGCTTCTAGTAACAGATGTGAGACGCGGAGACTCGATGGGGAAACGTGCAGTTAGTTACTAACGAAGTACTTGCAGCTTCAGAAAGACGACGACTAAGTTGAAGGATTAAATGTTAAACCGGCTCGCCATAAATCAAGTTGCTGTTTCCTGTCTGCGCTCGTTGACCTCTGCTGTTTCTCTCGCAGAGTGCGGCTCTGATGACCAGCAGGTTCCCGTCTTCTCTGACCAGCTGTTGTGGAACCCGTACTGATGGTCGCCGGCGGCTGAAACGGCGAGGTCCGGTCGCCTGTCGGCGCATCTCGACTCCTCGGACGAGACGTCGTCTGGACCTCCTGTGACCTGCTGATCCTGACAGTGTCGTGTCAAGTTTGTGGGCGTGGTTTCTGGTATCCGCTATATTTGTCTTTTTAAGATGGTTAACGACAGCAGGGATGTGATTGGTCCTTCATCTGAGTCACATCCACCCCTCTGTGATCTCCACTCGGCGGGAGGAGCGCTGCGACCTGACGAGGACCCGCCCTCCTCTGCCGCAGCACCGGAAGGGTTGATTTCCCGGCTGCACCTGAACGCGTCCTCGCTCAGACAGCTGAACTCTGACCTGAGCATGGTTCTATAGTTTGCACTTGATAGATTTTTACTCTGGAGTTGGACGGCGTCAGATGGAGCACCTCTCACCTCATGTTTTACTTTAGGACCCTGCACTGAAGGAAAAGCTGCTCATTTGTTGTTTTTGTACTTGAAGTCACTTATTGGTCGGTTTGGTGTCACTTTCCCGCCTCCTGCAGGCGACCACCCTCACCCCCATGCTCTGCTGTCTGGACAGGCTCCACCCCCTCTGTACCTCCATGTTTTTTCTAAAAAACAACTGATCGCTGGAGGAGGAAAGGCTGTCGCTTTGTGTTGTGAGTTTTCTTTTTACTTTTTTGTGTTTTCTCAATTTTGTCGTTTTGTGCTGCTTGACTGTTGAGAGCAAAGCTGAAAGATGTGATTAATAAAGATTTAAATAAAGTGGTATAAATTCAAACCTCTTCTCTGACCATGTGTTTGTCCCTCTGACCAGAGAAAGCGCCGCGCAGGTCGATTCGGCCACAGCTTATGACGTTTTAGTCCTAGAGGGTGACGGTCTGTCCCGAGGAAAGTCGACATGTGTTAAGTTTGAATAATGAACTTATTTTAACCCAAACCACCAAGCTTTTCCAAACCTAAGTACACTACGAGTTTAAAGTTTTAGATGCCTCCATGTTTGTAGTTCTTCTGTAAATCTAAGTAGTACAAGTCCAGAGGAAAACCTTAAATGGTACAAATTTAAAAGTTTCTGTCACCAAAACATTTTCAGATCTAAAATGTTTTGTTCATTATTTCACTGTAGGACCAGCTGCTCCGTCTGCCTTCATTATTTATATATAAAATGTAGTCCAAACAAAGCTTGAGGTGTCTTAACAGGCTGCTCCAAGGTGTTTACTGTAGAAATGTGCTTCATTTCCTTCCACTGCGGCAGAAAGTTAACTGTTAATCTCATTCATCAGTTTCGCTGAACTAAACTTTGCCTCCTCTGGTTTTTCTTTCGCAGTGGAAAGGAATTAAGCAAAAACAAATCCTGTCTTACAGTGAAATAATGAACAAAACTCCTTTTTAATTTGGGGATGTAAACATTGTTTTTCACTGGACAGGACCCCACACTCACTATTTTAACATTGAATAAAATGAAACCTCTTCTTGTTCTCGTGAGCTCCGTATGGTGCATCGTGGAAAAGCGGTGCACTGTATAATAAATCAAACACATCCCGGCTGCTCTCTGACCTTCTGATAACTCGTGTTTTCGGTCTCTGAGCAGAAGCAGACTCGGGTGATGCAGGAGGAGAGGATCTGCTCCGTCCTCTCTCTCCTCCTGAGCAGCTGAGGTAAACAAGCTGAGACCAGCCTTTAAACTACATCTCCCATCATCCTTCGGCGTTTTACGGCTTTAAGTCTGACACTTGCTGAATAATATTTATTTGTGTTATACGTGTGTTGTTAGTAACCCGCTGCTGGTTGCGACGAGGATGAGATAAAAATAATATAAATGTGAATAAACGGCAGGTGCTGCGGTAGCACCGCCCCTCCTCCCCCCCCCGCCTGGCACCGGGAGTGTTATTTATGAACGCCTGCCGCTCGCGGGCGTGTGCACGCAGATTCATTATTATTATTTTTAATCATTACGAGACGTTGGACTCTGATTGCGGCCGATGTTTGGGCTCGAACCGGACCCTGCAGTGTCCGATGTGTGCGGTTAAACCCCGACTTTAATTCATTGCGGTGTGTTTGGTGCTGAAGCGGCGGCGGCGGCGGGCGGAGCGGCGCTCTGTAATAACACTGGGTCAATACACCGAGGACCGTCTGCCAGCCCCGCTGCACCCACCGGAGCCACCCCGTCACCCGGAGCTCCTGTCCGACAAGGTAAGACAGCCAGCCGGCCGAGAGAGGGTGAGCAGGGGAAGCGGTAGGTAGCCGCTCCATCCCGCAGTGTTGTCCTCCGCTCACGCTGCTCCGGGAGCTCGCAGGCCGGCAGCACGTTACCGTCACCCCCGTTATTATTGTCAGCCAGCTCCGCTGCTAACTGTCACTTAGCCCCGTGAGGTGTTCCGCTTTATTCAGGAATAAACTCTGTCAGCAGAAGGCTGGAGAGGAGACGGCGGACGGAGAATCCGCTCCGGTCTCCGCTGGGTTTGTTTGTGGAAGCGCCGCTGCTAACGCTGCTAGCGGCTAACGCGGCTAACGCTGGGCAGGTCAGTTAGCCACCGTTAGCTGCCCCTGGATGCAGCCAGGCGGCCGGTGTAGCTCCCCGTTAGCCCCGCAGACCCCGCGGAGCAGCCCGGCCTGAGCCCCCGGGGCTGCGCGGCCCTGTGCCGGAGGAAACGCTCCTCAGCCCGCTGTTATGTTCCAGGGAGCAAAATGGCTGAATTTATTTCTCCGACCTTGACAGTAAAACCGGGATGACATTTTATTTATAGCGAGCTAACGGTTCAGGTGATGCTGCGCTAGCTCGGTGATGTAACCCGCTGCCTTCAAACCTCTAAATCGGAATTTTATTTTATTTTTTTACTACGAAGTTTATGTCAAGTATTTCATAATGACTCTCACGTTTATTCTGCGCTTAAACGGGCAAACCGCTGTGTGTGTTAGCATCCCCCATTTAAAACAATAGGATCTGTTAGCCACGAGCTAGCAGCAGCCGGAGATGCACAGCGGCCTCAGGCAGGCTGCCGGGGCCAGAACCGAACCATTATTTAACCGAAACCGGGGTCCGAACTGTGTGTGGCCCCTGACCCCATTTCACCAGGAGCCCTCCTGACTGCATCAGTGCAGAAAGTCTTTATGATCGATGCATCCAAACACAGTCCAGACCTGAAGGGACGAGGCTGCAGAAAACAGAATATCAAACTGTCAGACGCTGCTTAACTTAAACATTTCAGCTTCTCATGTGAAGATTTCCACATTTATATTGATGGTAAATTCAATATATTTGGAGCTTTGGACTGTTTTACTCACTAAGTGATAAAGTGATTAATAGCAGGGCTCAACGTTGAGCTGTTCAGCAGCTGGAGGGTTTGACTCTTACTGGCCCCAAACAGTTTTTACTGGCCCTCCCTTAGAAAGTTGGAATAAATCAGAGTTACAACAAAACCAAAGACTTTAAAGTTTTTTCAACATGTTCAAGCATTGATTAAATAAATCCTGGATATAAAACTCAACAGACGTGTAATCACAGTTCAAATGATAAAATTAAAAAGGTTACAGTTAAAAAGAACAATTTACTCAAACATGCCTCCATCCTGTCAATCAGCTTGTAGCCCCGCCCTAAAGCCTCCCCTGCTTCCTGGTCTCTGTTCCTCCAAATGGGACCATAATTTACTAAATGAACATCAAGCTGTGTTGAAGAAGACTTGAAACGAGCGACTGAGACCAGAAACTCATCAGGAAAGTGTTTACTGAGGGAATAAATCAGCTGACAAGTAGAAACATTTTCTCACAGACTTCTATACAATCACACTTCTTTCTGCAGCCGCTGGCTGCGAGAGGACGCAGGTTTAAGTCGCCCCCTGCTGGCTGCTAGAGAGGACGCAGGTTTAAGTCGCCCCCTGCTGGCTGTTAGAGAGGACGCAGGTTTAAGTCGCCCCCTGCTGGCTGTTAGAGAGGACGCAGGTTTAAGTCGCCCCCTGCTGGCCGCTAGAGAGGACGCAGGTTTAAGTCGCCCCCTGCTGGCTGCTAGAGAGGACGCAGGTTTAAGTCGCCCCCTGCTGGCTGCTAGAGAGGACGCAGGTTTAAGTCGCCCCCTGCTGGCTGCTGGAGAGGACGCAGGTTTAAGTCGCCCCCTGCTGGCCGCTAGAGAGGACGCAGGTTTAAGTCGCCCCCTGCTGGCTGCTAGAGAGGACGCAGGTTTAAGTCGCCCCCTGCTGGCTGCTAGAGAGGACGCAGGTTTAAGTCTCCCCCCTGCTGGCTGCTAGAGAGGACGCAGGTTTAAGTCGCCCCCTGCTGGCCGCTAGAGAGGACGCAGGTTTAAGTCGCCCCCTGCTGGCTGCTAGAGAGGACGCAGGTTTAAGTCTCCCCCCCTGCTGGCTGCTAGAGAGGACGCAGGTTTAAGTCGCCCCCCCTGCTGGCTGCTAGAGAGGACGCAGCTTTAAGTCGCCCCCTGCTGGCTGCTAGAGAGGACGCAGGTTTAAGTCGCCCCCTGCTGGCCGCTAGAGAGGACGCAGGTTTAAATTGCCCCCTGCTGGCCGCTAGAGAGGACGCAGGTTTAAATTGCCCCCTGCTGGCCGCTAGAGAGGACGCAGGTTTAAGTCGCCCCCTGCTGGCTGTTAGAGAGGACGCAGGTTTAAGTCGCCCCTGCTGGCCGTTAGAGAGGACGCAGGTTTAAGTCTCCCCCCCTGCTGGCTGCTAGAGAGGACGCAGGTTTAAGTCTCCCCCCCTGCTGGCAGCTAGAGAGGACGCAGGTTTAGGTCGCCCCTGCTGGCCGTTAAAGAGAACGCAGGTTTAAGTCGCCCCCCCTGCTGGCTGTTAGAGAGGACGCAGGTTTAAGTTGCCCCCTGCTGGCTGCTAGAGAGGACGCAGGTTTAAGTCTCCCCCCCTGCTGGCTGCTAGAGAGGACGCAGGTTTAAGTCGCCCCCTGCTGGCCGCTAGAGAGGACGCAGGTTTAAGTCGCCCCCTGCTGGCTGCTAGAGAGGACGCAGGTTTAAGTCGCCCCCCCTGCTGGCTGCTAGAGAGGACGCAGGTTTAAGTCTCCCCCCCTGCTGGCTGCTAGAGAGGACGCAGGTTTAAGTCGCCCCTGCTGGCCGCTAGAGAGGACGCAGCTTTAAGTCGCCCCCTGCTGGTAGCTAGAGAGGACGCAGGTTTAAGTCGCCCCCTGCTGGCCGCTAGAGAGGACGCAGGTTTAAATTGCCCCCTGCTGGCCGCTAGAGAGGACGCAGGTTTAAATTGCCCCCTGCTGGCCGCTAGAGAGGACGCAGGTTTAAATTGCCCCCTGCTGGCCGCTAGAGAGGACGCAGGTTTAAATTGCCCCCTGCTGGCCGCTAGAGAGGACGCAGGTTTAAATTGCCCCCTGCTGGCCGCTAGAGAGGACGCAGGTTTAAGTCGCCCCCTGCTGGCTGCTAGAGAGGACGCAGGTTTAAGTCGCCCCCTGCTGGCTGCTAGAGAGGACGCAGGTTTAAATTGCCCCCTGCTGGCTGTTAGAGAGGACGCAGGTTTAAGTCGCCCCCTGCTGGCTGTTAGAGAGGACGCAGGTTTAAATTGCCCCCTGCTGGCTGCTAGAGAGGACGCAGGTTTAAGTCGCCCCCTGCTGGCTGCTGGAGAGGACGCAGGTTTAAGTCGCCCCCTGCTGGCCGCTAGAGAGGACGCAGGTTTAAATTGCCCCCTGCTGGCTGTTAGAGAGGACGCAGGTTTAAGTCGCCCCCTGCTGGCTGCTAGAGAGGACGCAGGTTTAAGTCGCCCCCTGCTGGCTGCTAGAGAGGACGCAAGTTTAAGTCGCCCCCTGCTGGCCGCTAGAGAGGACGCAGGTTTAAATTGCCCCCTGCTGGCTGTTAGAGAGGACGCAGGTTTAAGTCGCCCCCTGCTGGCTGCTGGAGAGGACGCAGGTTTAAGTCGCCCCCTGCTGGCTGCTGGAGAGGACGCAGGTTTAAGTCGCCCCCTGCTGGCTGTTAGAGAGGACGCAGGTTTAAGTCGCCCCCTGCTGGCTGCTAGAGAGGACGCAGGTTTAAGTCGCCCCCTGCTGGCTGCTAGAGAGGACGCAGGTTTAAGTCGCCCCCTGCTGGCTGCTAGAGAGGACGCAGGTTTAAATTGCCCCCTGCTGGCCGTTAATCGCAGCCACATAACATTTACAGTTTTGGGAATATCCGTAGCTGCTGTGACCACAGAGGCAACGCAGGGTTAAGGCCAGTTTATACATCTGTCTCAAATCTACGCCGCAGGCTGATGCACACCTCCCCAAAAATGTAACTACACTTCGCGGCGACGCAGACCGCAAGAGCTGTGATTGGCCGGCTTGGCAGCATCGCATGTCTGGCTCGTCCTTCTTCTTCTGCCTGAACAGGTTCAAGGGTCGTACAGACCGTCTCCTCCGACGCCTTCTCTCGTTTCTGCGTTTTATTCATTTCATTAAAAGTAGCTGCTGTTCAACGTCGATCAGCTCCGACTCCGACACGATCCGCTCACTTTCAGCCGCAGCCCACGCCGTCGGCCAGCTTGTGGTTAGAGTACTTTTCAGTTGTAGTCATTTTTCAAGTTGCCGTCTTGGTGACACGCTCGTGACCAGCAGCTACGTCAGCTCACGCCAGGAGGAAAGGCTTTTGTAGAAGAGGTGTGCAAATCAATTACAAGTTGGGAAGTTCAGTGACGACATGTGACGGCGGTGTTGGCGGCAAACAAAATGGTTGATGATAGCGAGCAGGGAGCTAGCTAGCTCGGTTAGCTAGGTGCTACCAAGTGACTCACATGCTTCTTCTTCCTCCTCTCCAGGTGCGCTGCCGGACGCAACAGCTGAATGACGATGTCCTTGTGAGAGTGGGCGGGGCTACCTGGCCCTGAGGCGGTAAGGAGGCGGAGGAGTCTCGGCCCTCAGCCCCTCCCCCCTCTTCTCCTGCGAAGGACCAAACGGACGGGAACACAAACGGGCGTGGCTGTCTTCTCCTTCCTCCTCCCCTCTCCTCCCTGTTCTCTCCTCCTCCCCCCCTCCCCATCTCCTCCCCCCCTCCCTCCCCCGTCTCCCCCCTCGTCCCCTGCCACCATGCTGTGGTCACGCTGCTGCTGGAGAGCCTGAGGAAGCAGATTCTGGAAGGTGACCCTGCTCAGCCGGGGGACTTCTACCTGGTGAGTGTCACCTCCAGCTGCTTCACCTGTAATTTCACCTGTAGTTTCACCTGCAGCCTCCACCTGTAGTTTCACCTGCAGCTGCTTCACCTGTAGTTTCACCTGCAGCCCCACCTGTAGTTTCACCTGCAGCCGCTTCACCTGTAATTTCACCTGCAGCCTCCACCTGTAGTTTCACCTGCAGCTGCTTCACCTGTAGTTTCACCTGTAGTTTCACCTGCAGCCTCCACCTGTAGTTTCACCTCCAGCTGCTTCACCTGTAATTTCACCTGCAGCCTCCACCTGTAGTTTCACCTGCAGCTGCTTCACCTGTAATTTCACCTGCAGCCTCCACCTGTAGTTTCACCTGCAGCTGCTTCACCTGTAGTTTCACCTGCAGCCCCACCTGTAGTTTCACCTGCAGCTGCTTCACCTGTAATTTCACCTGCAGCCCCACCTGTAGTTTCACCTGCAGCCTCCACCTGCAGCCCCACCTGCAGCCCCACCTGTAGTTTCACCTGCAGCTGCTTCACCTGTAATTTCACCTGCAGCCCCACCTGTAGTTTCACCTGCAGCCTCCACCTGCAGCCCCACCTGCAGCCCCACCTGTAGTTTCACCTGCAGCCTTCACCTGTAGTTTCACCTGCAGCCCCACCTGTAGTTTCACCTGCAGCCTCCACCTGCAGCTGCTTCACCTGTAATTTCACCTGCAGCCCCACCTGTAGTTTCACCTGCAGCCTCCACCTGCAGCCCCACCTGTAGTTTCACCTGCAGCTGCTTCACCTGTAATTTCACCTGCAGCCCCACCTGTAGTTTCACCTGCAGCCTCCACCTGCAGCCCCACCTGTAGTTTCACCTGCAGCTGCTCCACCTGTAGTTTCACCTGCAGCCTTCACCTGTAGTTTCACCTGCAGCCCCACCTGTAGTTTCACCTGCAGCTGCTCCACCTGTAGTTTCACCTGCAGCCTCCACCTGTAGTTTCACCTGCAGCTGCTCCACCTGTAGTTTCACCTGCAGGCTCCACCTGTAGTTTCACCTGCAGCTGCTCCACCTGTAGTTTCACCTGCAGCTGCTTCACCTGCAGCCCCCACCTGTAGTTTCACCTGCAGCTTCCACCTGTAGTTTCACCTGCAGCTGCTTCACCTGCAGCCTCCACCTGCAGTTTCACCTGCAGCCTCCACCAGACTTCATATTTCGGTGGATTTAACAGATTATCTGCTAATCTAGCTCTTTCTTATTAGGGTAAATCTTGTACTTAATATTTGTTTGTACCATTAATACTGTGTAGTACGGTGGTACAAAGCTGTACTCCAGTAGTACTTGAGTAAATGTACTTTCTACTGCTGGAGCTGAAGCTGCTGTTCTCTCAAATGTCCACTAGATGGTGCTCTGAGAATCAGCCTCTAACACAAAGATCAATCAATACTTGATCACTCTGACATTCGGCTGCTCCCACCAGACATTTTATCGCAGCAGTAAATATCAGGCGTGTTGTCGGAGCGTTTCAACTCAGCCTCTCTTTGTCTTTTTGTCTTTCAGTCCCTGCTGGACCCGAAAACCCTCGCAGAGTGGCGGCCCCCAGATGGCTTGATGCCTGGTTGAGTATTTCAGATTTCATTCAGAATAAATTCAGTTTATTCACAAATCGTTTTAGAATACGGTCATAACAAGGAATGCAGAGATGGGAAAAGGGGAGCGCCCTGGTAAACACTAAGCAGAGAGAACACAGGGATTATAAGCAGGGCTTGACATTAAGACACGCCAACCCGCCACATGCGGCTGGATTTCAGCTGTGGCGGGTAACACAGTCACTCCCGCTACTAGCCACTTTGGCGTGTTGAAACACAAAACAAACGATCCAAAGTGCCCAAACTTTTAATCCTGTTGCCTTAAGTGTGGATTGTTTTCTTTGTAAAATCATTTATTCTTTAATCTTAGTTTCTAATGTAGTTAATTTTTCTACTCTGTATTTACAGCTGTTAAATATAATTAATGTTAAATAAATAAACAGTGTTTCTGAGGATTTTCTTTTCAGTTTAGTTTTTATCTTTTCAATTCATCCATGCAATAATAATCTTATGTGTTTATCTTAACGGACTACATGTTTTCAAAAAGAAAGGAGCTGTACACACGACCTCATCAGAGCCAATGATGATATAAGCACATTTTAGCTCGCCATCGTCAACTTTACTCATATAAAACGTAATTTTCCAACAACAGAAAATGCTGCGTGGCTAGTAGCTTTGGAAAACCACCAGCCCCGTCAGCTAGTGAGCAAAAAAGTTAATGTCAAGCCCTGATTATAAGTACCACACACTGTCTAGGTTAATACAACAAATAAATACAGTAAATGCAATCTGCAGGATTATTTCTAGCCTGCATACAGAAAATCCTGAGAGCTAAGCTCAGTGGCCCCAACGTGGTCATTACATCAGTCTGACTTTGGTAAGAAAGGTGAAATACGACATTTGGAAAATGGAAATAACATTTCAATTTAAAATGATGTGAGAGTGACTCATTAAAGAAGTGGAGTCTCTGGGTTATTCAGGCCGGGATCATTTGTTATCAGTAGTTATCAAGATAAAAGTCTTTCAGGTTTAAAGGCTGATTTTTGATCCTGAGTGAAAGTTAACGTGGTTTTAAACTTTTCTTTCTGCTCAGAACAAACAGCAGCAGATCACTTCACAGACCTGAGGCAGAACGTTCAGAACTATTCTGATAAAATCTGTTTTCAACAGATGTGCACGAGGAAAATAAAGTACAATCTGTTTTTAAGTCTCTTTTCCCTCAACAAAGTAAAGATCTTAACAGAAACAGCGAGGAAGGTAAATAATGTTCAGGACGCGTCCGGCTGGAGAACACGGCTGGAACCTGAACCTGAATCCAGAATCAGGTTAAAAACAGGGAGCAGTTTGCTAAAGATGTTTCTGACTGAGACACGAAGAGATTCAGATGTTTCTTATTAACTGACCTTTTCTGTGTGTCCTATCAGAGAGCAGCTACTGGCAGCTCTGCCCTCCCTCCAAGTCCAGCCTGCAGGGGGGGTTACTGAGCTCTAGTTTCCCCCCGGGCCCCGTGCCCCTGGTGCCCCCTGATGCTCACCTACAGGAGGGGGGCGACCCCCTGGACGGGACCCCCTCTCAGCCGCAGCAGCACCGGCCCCTGGCGCCTAGCACCTCAGCGTCCGAGCTGTCTCTCCCTGGTGCGCCGGTGGCCCCTCCCGGCCCCGGGCCCCCTCCTCCACCTCCCCCGCCCCCCAAACGTCACTGCCGCTCGCTGTCGGTGCCCGAGGACCTGTCGCGCTGCCGCTACACCTGGCGGCCCAGCGCCTCGCGGGTCTGGACTCCTGTCAGTCGCCAGCAGTGCCACGGGGGAGCGGGGGGAGGGGCCTCAGGTGGGGGGGCTGGAGGAGGGGGTATAGGGGTGGGAGCGGCGGGAGGGGCTTGTCCTCTCCGCGCTCCCAGCTCCTCCCTGAACTCCTCGCTCCACTCCTCATCCAGCCCCACCTTCTTCAGCCTGGCGCTGTCTCCGGACTCCCCGCTGCCCTGGAGCTTCCCCTGGGACCCCAGCGAGGCGGCGGCGGGGGGAGGAGCCTGCTGCTGCTTCTTCCCCTCCCCCTCCTCCTGCTCCTCCTCGCCCTCCCCCCTCCACCCTCCTCCCCCTCCTCAGAGGCGTTTCTCCCTCTCCCCCGTGCTCATCAGAGACTCGGCGGCCTCCACGTTCCTGCCTCCTCCTCCTGTGCCGAGCCAAGCGGCGCCGCCTCCCCCGGGGCGCTCCGTCGTGGCCGGAGCCGCCCGAGGGGGCCCGGTCCCCGCCTCGCCCTCCTCGGCTTGCAGCACGCCGTCGTCTCTGCGCCGCAGTCTGCCGCCGCAGCTGCCGCGCTGCCACTCGCAGCCCTGCGACCTGCTGCTGTTCAAACCGGGTCTGAAGAGACGCCGCGACCCGGACAGGCCCTGCGCCCGACCAGTCCTGGACTTCACCAAGATGACTCAGGTACTGCAGAACATCACGCCGCACGTTTGATTAACAACACACGTGTTAAGCTAAAACGCCAAATCTTCTCTGCAGCTTTGTTTTCCGTTGACTTCAGACGCCACTTTGGGAGAACTGCTTTAAAGTGAGTCGCTGCAGGTGAACGGGGTAAACGTTTAACAGAAATCACCATGAAACTTTCCTCATTGAATTCTCACATTAAGACAATATTTTTTTTGTATTACAGGTTTTCTGAAATTTTGTTTAAATATGCAAATGAGGGAGTATCTAATATAATATGCGCTAATTTGCATCTATTTCAAGAACTGAAGTCTGAACTCTGGATGAAGTCAGGTGCAAAATGATTGTTTTATTTTGCCAACACGTCAGACTCAAATGTTTTCGCAGAGGGGAGCCTGGATGTCTCTTTTTATTATTTTATAAATCAGAAAATCCTGTCAACGGGCAAAAAAAACAATTTTCGCCTTGTTTTTGGGACAAAATGTTCTATAACTCAGGCTGTGAATGATGTGCGAACAAACCCTCCTGTAGAAACCTTCAGAATCAGGAATAAACCTGGAGAGCTTTGGTGTCTGAAGTGGAGAGTTCAGGCTCAGAGGACAAACGGCCTGTAAAGATCAGTAATGTAAAGTTCTACACATTTTCATTAAAAATCAGTTTTTACAGACATCAGATCCTAAACAACAACTTTGGCTGCAGCTAACGATGATTTTAGTACTCGAAGCTTCTTCAGATTATTTCAGTGAATCATCGATGCGTTATGTAAGAAGTACTTTCGTCTGGCTTACTTTGGCTTCAACTCAACAGTCGGTCGTGATTTCAGTTAAATGCTAAAGTTGCTGTTAGCTTGTCTGAGGTCCGCTGGCAGAACACCGGCTGCTTTCTGATCAGGCGCCACTTTTTACGGTGGACGGACGGTAACGTTACAGAGTTGTTGTTTTCTTTCGCTTGAAATCTTTTTTCCTCAACAAAATAAACATGTTAATAGAAAAATAAGCTCTAATTTATGATTCAAGTGAATAGAATCAAATAATTATTGAACATTTGTCATATTGTTGTTGAAAGAAATTACAGCGCGATTATTATTGTTATTGATTCATTATCCAGCCCCGTGCGCTGTTTACGGATTAAACGAAGCCTCGATGCTTTTTAGTAATCGATTTAATCTGAATATAGAACATTTCAATCACACAATAATGATAACTGAGTAACAGCAGGTCTGAACAGACTGAGCCACCTAAACCAGGAAGTGTCCAAGTACACCACATGACGCATCTAAACTTTAGGAGAAATCTACAGACAAACCGCAGGAAAACAAACTAAACGTGGATTTTGGATGTTTTCTCTAAACGCCTCTAAATTGACCAGATCCTGATGACACCAACAGTCTGTCAAAGTGCTGACAGACGACTTCTTCTGTGGTACAAACATTCAGTTTCCTTCTGGGTCGTATTAAACTGTAACCTGATGAACCCGGTTCTTGAGAAACGGGTCTCTTAGACTAGTGTGACGCTGTGGCGTTGATGTCAGCGGGTTTACGGAGCTCTTGTTTTCTGTCGCCCTGCAGACCCGCAGCATCGACCCGCAGTGTCTGGAGCGCGGCGGCGGCAGGCTGGCCTGCGGCGGTGACGTCTGCATGGGCATGGAGGCCTTCATGGGCGACTTCCGGGGCTCCTGCTCGCCGGCCGAGTGCCTGGGCAGGACCAGCATCGGGCCGCTGAGCGAGAGCGACGAGGAGTGCCGCGAGGACGACGACGATGACGACGGGGAGGAGGAGCCTGAGGAGCGCGAGGCGGCGCAGCAGGCCGTGTTCGAGAGGGACTGTACAGAACTGGACTTGAACTTAATAGAAGAAAACTGAGGCATTTGTAAATGAAGGCTGTTTCTGTTGGTTAAGTTTTATTTTAATTAACCTGACTCCCCCCCCAACACTCTGCGCCGCCTCGCCACCAATCAGCAAGGCTCTCAGGAACAACGCCTCCTCTCATTGGATGAGCCGGGGCAAACGAAGCTGATTGACGACGACAGTGATGATCTGGCTGCCATCGTTAGAGACTCGGCGCCGACCTGTAGCCTGAGCTGTGTGTTTACAGCCAGGCTCTGAGAGGAACCTGCGACCCGAGGACGCCGCCACACTCTGAGTCCCAGTCGGCGTTCCCAGTCCGAAGCCGCTGGTTCCTCCTTCTGTGACTGGACTCAGACTGTCCAGGCGCTCCGTGGCGTCCAGGTGTCTTCCAACACGCCGTTGCCGAGTCTCTGTAACACACTACAGTCTGATGAGGCCGGCGCCGCACTGCAGCGCCAACCTGAAACAGCATCACACGCCCGGCCGCGACCCAGACGCCACGTGAGGTCTTTAATCAGGATTTAAAGGGCCAGTTCACCAAATCACTTAAATGGAAGTGTAAATATTTAGTTTCAGTGTCAGAGAAACTGATAATATAATAACATAATCGGGCCAGTTTATACGTCTGCGTCAAATCTACGCCGGAGCCCGATGCACACCTCCCCAAATATTTAACCGCAGGCCGCAGTGATGCAGACTGCAAGAACTGTGATTGGTCATCTCGGTAGCGTCACATTTCTGGCTCATCCTTCTTCTTCTTCTGCCACGACCAGTTAAAGGGTCGCACACGCCATCTCCTCGGACGCCTTCCCTCGTTTCTGTGTTTCAGTAATTTCACTGATGTTCAACATGATCCGCTCACTTCCAGCCGCCCTACACCAACGAAGAAGAAGAAGAAAGTCAACACAGTGGAACATAGAAACCCCGCCTCCGACTAGCATTGGATGCCAACACACACGTTTAAGTACTCACAGCGGCACGTAGCCTCGACACTGACGTTTAAACTGGCCTTTAGTCGGAAGCAGAAACTGCTTTGTAGATATAATGTATAAAAACACACGAGCGGAGCCGCTTCATGATCAGAACTAATCATCGGCTGCTCGTCCTGATTCAGAGTTCTTCTCTAAATGTTCAGATTGGGGCGTCGGTACGATTTTCATCATGAGAAAAGGAATCAGTATCCTTTAATTTGCACGTCGAGGACACGCAAAGTGCTTTAAAGACTGAAACGCCCTCTGCGGGTCACGTGGTGATGCGTTCAGGTTCGCTGTTCTGTGGCGTCGTCCCCTCAGGCGCCACTGAGGGCAGGTAGCCACTGATGCTGTTGTTCACCTGAGTGTTCACACACACACACCTGTCCCTGCTGAACGCTACACCTGCTCACTCGCTCACTTGTGTGTCTGTGTGTGTGGTGGTCATGTGACCTGCGTCCAGATTGAATCCAGATCGTGTCCTGATCCAGTTTCTCCGAGCATCAGCACGATGTCACAGTTACATCAGAATCTAGAGAAAGCGAGTTAAAGTCGAACGCGAGTGACTGCGTTTAAAGATCTGCAGTCAGGCGTGGAGAGGAAGGTTACAGCCTCCTCATCATCATTTTCAGCTCTTCCCCAGCAAAAGCTGCTTCACTTACGGCAGCGTTTGATTCACTGAGGCGGTTTCTGACAGGAAACAGGAAAGTCTTGGTGTCGAATCGGGTTTCCAGCGTTTCTCCTCGACAAAAGTATCAGCAAAGAAAAGCGAGAGTAAAATGTCTCAGCTTTGGGAAACGCTTTAAAGACCCGACAACTAATCTAAAAAATAAGTTAAGAAAATAACAATAACATCATCAATAAATCAATCACGGCCTTTCTGAGCTGCCAGAAGTCCGCCTGTATTCCAGGTCGTCGATCGCTCGGGAATCAATCAGACATCAAACTGAACTATCATAAAATTAATTCCCCGTGCTGATTGGCTGCCTCAGATCCAGCTATTGATCCTTACTATGGCTGTTCAATTGAAGACGTCTCTCTTGTAGACAAACACGATTTATTTTTCCTTAAAAGTTGAAACTAGAGCTGCAACGATTAATCGCATCATCGACTATTAAAATGAATCGCCAACTATTTGGATAATCTAATCATTGAGTCGTTTTTTTTTTTTAAAGAAATGATCTGATTCAGCTTCTTAAATGTGAATATTTTCTGGTTTCTTTGCTCCTCTTTGACAGTAAACTGAAGATATTTGGGTATCTGGTAAAACAGTACGTCGCCTCGGGCTTCTGGGAAACAGACATTTTCCCCATTTTCAGACATGTTATAGATCAAACAACTGATCGATTCATCGAGAAACGTGTCGTCAGATTGATCGACGGTGGTAATAATGGTTAGTTGCAGCTCTAGTTTCGAACACGAGCACCTTCAGATACACAGAAATGTTCACAGACTCGTGCACGTGTTGGAGAGAAGAGTCACGTTTGGATCAGGCTTTAATCTGGACGCTGACAGAACCACCAGGTGTGAATGTGTCGTTGGGGGAAGTGACCTGACAAACGGCCGGCTTGTTTTACATGTTTTAGATTTTGTACGTGAGGACCATCTTCACATTCCTGCTGATTGTTTCAGTTCCTCCGTCAGATTTCCTTCCTCCCCGTGCAACCGTTTTGTTTCCTGTGAAAAGTCGACCTGCGGCGAGGTAATCATCACAGTCGGACGACCTCTTTAGCGATGCGTTCAGGGACACGTTAATATCCCGAGAGTTGATTATTGGCTTGTAGAAAACAGCACCTAAGAGTGACTTTAGACAGTCAGAAGACAATCAACAGGTAAACATTTTAAGACGGCCGTCAGATCTGAGACGGCAAGATGTCCCTGAATGCACCACAAAGGGGAAGAGGTTTCCTGTTGGATAACGTGTCTGGATTTCAGCTGTGATGGATTATCGTCGTTTGATTTTTGGCAACGTTACTGTTAAACTTCTGAGATGTTTGTTGAAACAGCAGCGAGTTCACTTTGTAAAAGATGAGATTGTTTTGTGTTGGCGAGCTGCTGCCGTCTGGAGGTCGGAGGAGGGTTTATTTGTGAGAACAAAATGCAGAGTTTCAGTTTGTGCAATTGTTTGTTTTTCTTTTCTGCCTCACGTCACAGTGTTTGGGGGGGGGCGGGGGGGATGTCTCTGAACAACGTCCTTAGCGTAGAGAGAGAGTTCAACGTTACAGGAAATACAGTCACACTATGTTGAGACGTTCAGGACATCAGTCTCATGTTCATGTCCTCAGGAGGGGAGCCTGGAGTGTGTGGTTAGCCTAGCTTAGCATAAAGACAGGAGACCACAAGTTCTGTCAGGTGAGGTGTTAATTACGAGCAGCCAAGAGCAACAAGCGGAACAAGCGTTCCGTGTTTCAGATATCTGGAATGAGACATGTAGTCAACATGTTAGCAGGCTAATGTTAGCATTTCGCTCACAGCTGAGTCTAAAAAGACTTCCTGTTTGCAACGACTTGCGTCTTAATCTGTGAGCTTTTAGAGGTACAGTCGCCCCCCACCCCCTGCCTGAAGTCTTTATGCTAATCTAAGCTAACTACATCGTGACTCCAGTTCTGCACATTAGAACGTCTCACTCTGAGAGAGTCGGACTGTTTACCAACAAGTTGAACTGTTTCTTTAAAGAGGTGGTATTCTGCTTTCTGGCTTTTTCCTTCATTGAGTTTATATCTTTTTTGTGCATGTAACAGGTTTGCAAAGTGAAAAAGCCCAAAGTCAGTCAAAGGCACACACACACACACACACACACACACACACACGATGTGGCCCCGTAACACACACACACACACAATGTGACCCCGTAACACACACACACACACAATGTGACCCCGTAACACACACACACACGATGTGACCCCGTAACACACACACACACACACACACGATGTGACCCCGTAACACACACACACACACACACGATGTGACCCCGTAACACACACACACACACACACGATGTGACCCCGTAACACACACACACACGATGTGACCCCGTAACATACACACACACACACGATGTGACCCCGTAACACACACACACACACGATGTGACCCCGTAACACACACACACACGATGTGACCCCGTAACACACACACACACGATGTGACCCCGTAACACACACACACAATGTGACCCCGTAACACACACACACAATGTGACCCCGTAACACACACACACGATGTGACCCCGTAACACACACACACGACGTGACCCTGTAACACACACACACACAATGTGACCCCATAACACACACACACGATGTGACCCCGTAACACACACACACGATGTGACCCCGTAACACACACACACACGATGTGACCCCGTAACACACACACACGATGTGACCCTGTAACACACACACACACACACACAATGTGACCCCGTAACACACACACACACACACACACACGATGTGACCCCGTAACACACACACACGATGTGACCCCGTAACACACACACACACGATGTGACCCCGTAACACACACACGATGTGACCCCGTAACACACACACACACACGATGTGACCCTGTAACACACACACACACACACACACAATGTGACCCCGTAACACACACACACACACACGATGTGACCCCGTAACACACACACACACGATGTGACCCCGTAACACACACACACACACGATGTGACCCCGTAACACACACACACACGATGTGACCCCGTAACACACACACACACACACACGATGTGACCCCGTAACACACACACACACACGATGTGACCCCGTAACACACACACACACACACGATGTGACCCCGTAACACACACACACACACACACGATGTGACCCCGTAAACACACACACACGATGTGACCCCGTAACACACACACACGATGTGACCCCGTAACACACACACACACACACACGATGTGACCCCGTAACACACACACGATGTGACCCCGTAACACACACACACACACACACGATGTGACCCCGTAACACACACACACGATGTGACCCCGTAACACACACACACGATGTGACCCCGTAACACACACACACACACACACGATGTGACCCCGTAACACACACACACGATGTGACCCCGTAACACACACACACACACACACGATGTGACCCCGTAACACACACACACGATGTGACCCCGTAACACACACACACGATGTGACCCCGTATCACACACACACACGATGTGACCCCGTAACACACACACACAATGTGACCCCGTAACACACACACACGATGTGACCCCGTAACACACACACACACGATGTGACCCCGTAACACACACACACGATGTGACCCCGTAACACACACACACGATGTGACCCCGTAACACACACACACACACACACACACACGATGTGACCCCGTAACACACACACACACACACACGATGTGACCCTGTAACACACACACACACACACACAATGTGACCCCGTAACACACACACACACACACACACACGATGTGACCCCGTAACACACACACACACACACGATGTGACCCTGTAACACACACACACACACACACAATGTGACCCCGTAACACACACACACACACACACACACACACACGATGTGACCCCGTAACACACACACACACACACACACGATGTGACCCCGTACACACACACACACACGATGTGACCCCGTAACACACACACACACACACGATGTGACCCCGTAACACACACACACACACACACACGATGTGACCCCGTAACACACACACACGATGTGACCCCGTAACACACACACACACACACACAATGTGACCCCGTAACACACACACACAATGTGACCCCGTAACACACACACACACACACACACAATGTGACCCCGTAACACACACACACACACAATGTGACCCCGTAACACACACACACACACACAATGTGACCCCGTAACACACACACACACACACACACACACACAATGTGACCCCGTAACACACACACACACACACACACACAATGTGACCCCGTAACACACACACATGCGGTAACACACATACACACACACACAATGTGACCCCGTAACACACACACACACACACACAATGTGACCCCGTAACACACACACACACACACACACACACACAATGTGACCCCGTAACACACACACACACACACACACACACAATGTGACCCCGTAACACACACACACACACACACACACACGATGTGACCCCGTAACACACACACACACACACATACACAATGACCCCGTAACACACACACATGCGGTAACACACATACACAATGACCCCGTAACACGCACACCTGTCTCACGCCCTTCCCGGCCCGTCGCTCCGTGACTCCCTCACCTGAACCTGAACATGTGATTGTGTCGAAGGAGAAAGAGGAACGTGTCCTGTGGCTGTTTCACTTTCAGTCTGTTCGTTCTGTTTTTCTTAATATTTCTGATCTGATGTCTGAGCGCGACGGCGAGTCGGCGATGAACGCATCGTGTCTGAAAAAAATAAAAATAAAAGAAGCTTCCGGACGGAGGAGGAGCAATCGTGTACAAAGTTAGCGGAGAGACTCGGACATCTTATGTCTTTTAGAAATGTTTTTTATTGTATGTGATTAAAAAAAAAGAACAATGACAACATGGCGATTTGAAAAGCAGTTTGTGAATAAATTAAGTTTATTGAGAATTATTTTACAAAGAAAGGGGAAAGCTGGCGTCGTGTGTTTTATTCCCATCATGTCAATCAGAAACCAGTTCATTCAAAGAGTGCTGCAGCTCAAGGTCACGGCTAAAGGACGCAACGCCGCTTTTGTATGTTTTAATCAGACTGTATGAAAGAAATGGACCTGTCAGTCAGCTTGTAGCCCCGCCCTAAAGCCTCCCCTGCTTCCTGGTCTCTGTTCCTCTAAATGGGACCATAATTTACTAAATGAACATCATGCTGTGTTGAAGAAGACTTGAAACTAGCGACTGAGACCAGAAACTCATCAGGAAAGTGTTTACTGAGGGAATAAATCAGCTGACAAGTAGAAACATTTTCTCACAGACTTCTATACAATCACACTTCTTTCTGCAGCCGCTGGAGTCGCCCCCTGCTGGCTGCTGGAGAGGACGCAGGTTTAAGTCGCCCCCCTGCTGGCTGCTGGAGAGGGCGCAGGTTTAAGTCGCCCCCTGCTGGCTGCTGGAGAGGGCGCAGGTTTAAGTCGCCCCCCTGCTGGCTGCTGGAGAGGGCGCAGGTTTAAGTCGCCCCCTGCTGGCTGCTGGAGAGGGCGCAGGTTTAAGTCGCCCCCTGCTGGCCGCTAGAGAGGACGCAGGTTTAAGTCGCCCCCTGCTGGCTGCTGGAGAGGACGCAGGTTTAAGTCGCCCCCTGCTGGCCGCTAGAGAGGACGCAGGTTTAAGTCGCCCCCTGCTGGCCGCTAGAGAGGAGGTGGCTTTAAGTCGCCCCCTGCTGGCCGCTAGAGAGGACGCAGGTTTAAGTCGCCCCCTGCTGGCTGCTAGAGAGGACGCAGGTTTAAGTCGCCCCCTGCTGGCCGCTAGAGAGGACGCAGGTTTAAGTCGCCCCCTGCTGGCCGCTAGAGAGGAGGTGGCTTTAAGTCGCCCCCTGCTGGCCGCTAGAGAGGACACAGGTTTAAGTCGCCCCCTGCTGGCTGCTAGAGAGGACACAGGTTTAAGTCGCCCCCTGCTGGCCGCTAGAGAGGACGCAGGTTTAAGTCGCCCCCTGCTGGCCGCTAGAGAGGAGGTGGCTTTAAGTCGCCCCCTGCTGGCCGCTAGAGAGGACACAGGTTTAAGTCGCCCCCTGCTGGCTGCTAGAGAGGACGCAGGTTTAAGTCGCCCCCTGCTGGCTGCTAGAGAGGACGCAGGTTTAAGTCGCCCCCTGCTGGCCGCTAGAGAGGACGCAGGTTTAAGTCGCCCCCTGCTGGCTGCTAGAGAGGACGCAGGTTTAAGTCGCCCCCTGCTGGCTGCTAGAGAGGACGCAGGTTTAAGTCGCCCCCTGCTGGCTGCTAGAGAGGACGCAGGTTTAAGTCGCCCCCTGCTGGCTGCTGGAGAGGACGCAGGTTTAAGTCGCCCCCTGCTGGCTGCTAGAGAGGACGCAGGTTTAAGTCGCCCCCTGCTG